AAAAGTGATATTTTCGACTTCTTGTTAAAAACCGCAAGTCCAATTGCTTTGATATTACATACATGTATATAAGTACTACATGTAGACCTCTCTCAGATTTGTTCATTTTGTAATGATATCTTTAATTCTCTAATTTTGGTGAATATTTTTGTCCTTTTTGGTAAAAAGTGATATTTTCGACTTCTTGTTAAAAACCGCAAGTCCAATTTGCTTTGATATTACACATATAGGTACTACACGTGGACCTTAATAAGATTTGTTCATTTTGTGATGATATCTCTAATTATAAGACCTTGATGCACATCATTTTGTTTTACAATCTGATTCAAGATGGCCGAATGGCGGCCTATTTTAGTATTAAAAAATCCTAAAAATCAAGCATTTCTTGGCTATTTACAGGTGGATTTTGTTCAAACTTGGTATATACATTAAACATTATAAGACCTTGATGCACATTATTTTGTTTTTCAGATAAGATTCAAGATGGCCGAATGGCGGCCATTTTTGTGTTAAAAAATCCTAAAAATCAAGCATTTCTTGGCTATTTACAGATAGATTTTGTTCAAACTTGGTAAATAATTTTGTTTTTCAGATAAGATTCAGAATGGCCGACTGGCGGCCATTTTGTTTTAATGAATGTGGTTCTCATGCCATATCTCTGATCACTGTGATCACAGTGATCACTACTATAGGGTTCAAAAATTATTTATGATCATTCAAAATATAGTGGCCATGGCTGTCGGTTCAACCTAGTACTGACCTTCACTATTTCGACACCACGAGCAGAGTAAAGGAAAGCTGAATCCCCGCGTCTATACTTAATTCATGTATAAGGCAGACACCCGACAGCAACAGCAAGAAGTTTGTCAGTTTTATTCAAGATATAAATTTTCTATTTTACGCATTGAAGCTACACAACGTGACCGAAAGCACTTCCAATGTGATCTAATTTGTAAACAATCTCTTTGCACACGATTCCCAGTGTCTTCTCCTCGAGCAGACAGTAATGTTTCACATTTGTTTTTGCATGGTTTCCATCTTACTCAAATAAAACAAAGCAGTTGATTCCTATTTTACTTAGTGTTTATTCTTGTTTGATATTTTTAAACAAAAATGCACTCATTAAACAAATAGTAAA